GAGTAACTAATTAATGACGGACTGATGCTAATTATCAGTCAGGCTGCTGAGTCAAAGAAAAGCTTAGCAACCTCTGGCCTGAGCAGATTGCTGAGGGTCGCTTCGTGCTCAGGCAAAGGCTGAGTCTTTCCTTCGAGGACCTGAGGTCAAGAAACTAAAACTAAATGACGACATCCTAATCAGCTAAATATAGTATAATTAATATGATATAGTATAATATATTAATTAAAATTTCTTAATTACCCCCTATATACAACCCTAAACCCTAGACCCTAAACCCTACCCTCAGTGCTGTTGTGGCACTCTGACCAGCCTCTGATAGAAGATCTCAGACTTCACACTGAGGATGGCTGTGCTGAGGAGCACATCCCACTCAGCCATAAAAGCCTAAGCTGAACAGCAAGGCCTAATTAAGACCTCAGAAGGTTAGTTTAGTGGGACCTCTAATTACTAATTACAAAACAGAACTTAGTGCAGTCTGCTTGCCTGACGTTCCCAGCTTGTCTGCTTGCCTAAGGAGTTGCGAACCCTCAGGAACATGTCGAAGAGGATCTGAGAACCACCTGCCTCAGAATGGCTTGAGGTGCCCTAATTAACCCTAAACCCTAATTAAACCCTAAACCCTAAACCCTACACCCTAAACCCTAAACCCTAGACCCTAATTAAAAACCCTAAACCCTAAACCCTAAACCCTAAACCCTAAACCCTCAACCCTAATTAAACCCTAAACCCTAATTAAACCCTAAACCCTAATTAAACCCTAAACCCTAAACCCAAACCCTAAACCCTTCCTGAAGCCCAGCCTCAGGGTCAAACTCGTAGAAGACCTGGGTGAGGTGCCTCAGGGCATCCCAGGAATCTCCTGAGGTATAATCTTGGCCTCAGATTGGCAAGAATAGGACTTCATTAATTACTCAGTAATTAATTAGGGGTTATGGGTTTAGGAGTTGTAGTAACTAAGGCGTTTCAGGGCTGAGGGGCTGTAGGGGTTTAAGGGCTTAGGGATTTCTGGGTTTCTGGGTTTGCCTGAGGTGCTGCCTGAGTCTCGGCGCTCAATGTGGGTGACCCTGTCTGAGATACCACTGAGCCATCCCTCCTCCAGGTTTAGGGTGTAGGGTTTCATTAGGGCTTAGGGTTAATTAAGGTTTCGGGTTAGGGTCTCGGGTTTAGGGTTTAGGGTCTAAGGGTTTAGGGATCAGGGTTGAACTGAGACACGTGTCCTGAGCTTGCAGGTACCAGAGGACATCACTAAGGAACTTGTACATCTTGAAGGCGACCCCGAAGACGAAGCTCAGGACGAAGATGTGAGCCTGAGCGCGGAAAACCCTTAACCCTAAACCCTAATTAAACCCTCAACCCTAAACCCTAATAACCCTTAACCCTAAACCCTAATTAAACCCTCAACCCTAAACCCTAATTAAACCCTAAACCTTAAACCCTAAACCACCCTAAACCCTAATTAAACCCTAAACCCTAATTAAACCCTAAACCCTAAACCCTAAACCCTAAACCACCCTAAGCCCTAATTAAGCCCTAAGTAGTTTCAGAAACACCAAAAGCAGCTGAGGAACCCAGACTGAGGCGTCCAAACCCCAGTCCTTGAGCTGAGTCACCAGAACCGAGAGCTCTGAGGTGACTGGACCTGAGATGCGAGGACATGCAGAACTCAAGGAATACTGAACCCCACTTAGTTCATCGCTTGGGAACCCTTGGCTTCACTGAGGCACTCCTTTTCACACATCTCAGCAGGAGTCTTCTCAGGCTCTCAGGCCTTCTTCAAAAATCGGTCTCTCTCAGGAGACAGTGCAAAAAAACAGTCTCTCTCAGGAGACAGATCTGATCGCTGACTCAGGTAGCGATCACTGGTGCCTCAGCCAGTTCTCGGCGGTCTCAGCTTGCTGGCCTGACGATGATGCTGAGGATGTTGCTGAGGCTTGGCCCTGGCCCATCTTCGCCAGAAGCTTCTTCAGCTGAGCTTGCTCCTCAGGGCTCAGGCCGCTCAGGTCGCTCTCAGAATTGGGCTGAGGAACAGGCTCAGCACTTGCCTGAGCCCGCTGGGCCTGCTGAGCCTCCCTCTCAGCTCGCCTCGAGTCCAGCCTCTCCTCAACATGGTCGGCAAGCTCAAGATGGCCCTGAAGGCAGTCTTCCTCAAAGCTTCGCACAGCCTCAATGAGGTCCTCATAGTCTTTGACCTGAGAATGGAGGTCCTCAAGCAGGCCTGAGGCATCCTTCTGAGCTGCCCTGACATCGTAGATGCAGTCTCTCAGGGCATTCTCTGAGTGGCCGGAACCTCTCAGCTTGAAGGCCAGGGCTGAGAGGCGGTCCTCAGTCTTCCTCAGCCACCTCTGAACCGACTCTGCACTCCATGGCTCATCTTCCTCAGGAGGATTGGGAGGGCTTGCCTTAGGCACAGCCTCAGACCCAGGCTGACCACGAAAGCTCAGGTCCACTCCTGAGTTCGGCGTCATCTTGTTCTGAGGAATGACTCGGTACCTCAGGGCTAAGTGTCTGCTCCAGGGCAGGTCCTCAATCATGGGAAGGATCTCAGTGTGGAACCTGAGGATGACTGAGGCCGGCCAGGAGCCGTGGCACTCAACACACCTGGTCTGATGCAGGATTCGGCTGAGGAAGATCTTAGTGTGCACCTTACGATCCTCACACTGAGGACAAAGGAAGAAGGGCTCAGGCTCGATGGTGCGGTCGTACTGAAGCCTTTGCTTAGGACCCTCAACACCAACTCTGAAGAGCTGGTGGGGCTCAGGTGGTGGTGGAGGCACCAGGCTCTGAGGGATAAGCACCGGCTGAGCAGAGCTCTGAGGAGGAGCCTGAGAAGAAGCCTTCAATGGCGGGAAGGACATGGCTCGCTAAGTGATTACTTAGGCGAGCTGCTGGTGAGGATGCTGAGGACCAAAAGCGCTCTGAAGAAAAAACAAGTTCCTCATGCTCAAGCTCTGTCTCAGTCCTAGATGCAAGCACTCACTCCTGTCTCAGTGCCTAAATGCAAGCCCTCACTGAAGCTAGTCAGACTAAGTGCAGCCCAGCAGCTGGCCAAGCTGAGTCCACTGAGGAGGGCAAAGCTCAGGAAGACGGCCATCTTCGTCTGAGTCTTCCTGAGATGCAAAGCCACTAGGTTTAGGGTTTAGGGTTTAGGGTTTAGGGTTTAGGGTTTAGGGTTTAATTAGGGTTTAGGGTTTAGGGTTTAATTAGGGTTTTTAGGGTTTAGGGTTTCAACCCTACTTCATTAATTAAACCCCAACCCTTAATAAACCCACTTCACCCCTAACTAAACCCATCCCCCTGAGTATCTTTTGGCAGAGCGACTGAGCCTGAGTGGGGACTCAGGCCAAGTCTTAAATTTAAAAAAACGGTGGCCCCCTCACTCGCTTATCTTCCTCAGGCCCCTTCCTCTTCCTCAGGCTCCTCCTTAACGACCACCCCCCCCTTCTGAGTGCAGCCAAAGGGTCATGGCTGAGACGAACTCAGGCAGGAGCTCAGGCGGGAATGCGAGGGGTTGCTGGAAGCACAGAAAAGCTCTGAGGATGGCAGGCGAAGCAAGGGATGAGCTTAGTTAGGACATCTCAGGGCAGGGCTCTCTTACTAAGTACTACTACTACTACTACTACTACTACTACTACTACTACTACTACTACTACTACTACTACTATTTCTACTACTAATTAATTACGAGTCATATATAATCTCATCCCTTTTAGATTCATATGGATCCCTTTTAAATCTATCTAAACTCCTCCCTATTAAAATCATATAAAATCCCAGGTGCGTTTAAAGAGGGCCCAACCCAGCCCTCGACTGTTCAGGGGGGGGGGGGGGGGGGCCCCCCACACTAATCAGGGTCCAACATTAGGGTGTAGGGTTTAGTTATGTAATTAGTGGTTTCCAGGGTAGTGGTTACAGGTGATTTTGTGTCTCGAGATTGGGTTTATCTTGGGATGTTAACAAGTCTTAATCGGGATTATAAGAGGGGGTACAGCATATCAGGGGGTACTATAATCCCCATTTAAGGACTGCTAGTGTAAGGGGGAACATTCCCAAGGCTTAGGGCTCGGGGTTCAGGCTTTCGGGGAACCTAAACCTAAACCCATATCGAGTGTTTAGAGTCTAGGGCTTAGGAAAATGCTCTTCCTAGGGGGGGGGGGGGGGGGATATGGTAGCTCGCGCCGATCTGCCGGGCTTCTGGGCACTGAGTTAGGGGATGGTGATGTACTAACATCCATGGGCTTAGGGTTTAGGGATTGAGGGCGTAGGAGATGTAGTTCCGGGCTTTCAAAAACCTAAATTGCAAGCATTCCCTGATGGTTTTGCGTTGCACCAGATCCTTTCTTCTAACCTTGATAGCAAGCACATTCACATTCGGGTATTTTTTTCTTGGGGGGGGGGGGGGGGGGGGGGGGGTGGTGGTTACTTTATAAGGGGACCGAGAACCCAACAGAAAGGAACACGGGTGCCACTGGGCTACTAAGTAACCACGCCCTACTTGGAGGTTCAGGGGTACCTATAACCCCAACTATAACTGTGCTTATAACCAACTTAGTACACTTATGGGGCTTCGAAGTGCAGTTAACATCAGGGTCATATGTGCCCACGAACCTCCAAGTAAACCAACACCTCAATCTCACGGGCGCATCTTTACTTTCTACTTCGGTAGGGGCTCATTTTGTCAGCCTCCTCCTCCACCCACCCCCCCACCCCCCCCAGGCGCCCCCTCGGATGCTTTCTGCATTCTCAGCCCGCCCCTCAAGCCTAAGACGTTTAGGGCTTAGGGCTTAGGGCTTAGGGTTTAGGGTGTAGGGTGTAGGGTTTAGGGTTTAGGGTTTAGGGTTTAGGGTTTAGGGTTTAGGGTTTAGGGTTTAAGTTTAGGGTTTAGGGTTTAGGGTTTAGGGTTTAGGGTTTAGGGTTTAGGGTTTAGGGTTTAGGGTTTAGGGTTTAGGGTTTAGGGTTTAGGGTTTAGGGTTTAGGGTTTAGGGTTTAGGGGGTCTGGCCTGTCGCAAGCTGTTGCAAGATAGACGCGCAGATCAGCTTTCGGTAGTAGGTCTCCTCGCTTCGGGTTTGGGGTGTCGGGTTTGGGGTGAAGCAACGTAGGGGTTTAGGGTTTAGGGTTTAGGGTTTAGGGTTTAGGGTTTAGGGTTTAGGGTTTAGGGTTTAGGGTTTAGGGTTTAGGGTTTAGGGTTTAGGGTTTAGGGTTAGTTTGGAACCCGGTAAGCCAAGGCGCAGGGGCGCCATGTGGTGGTTGATGCGGCTGTTTGTCAAGAACAGACCCCTAACCCTAAACCCTAAACCCCTAACCCTAAACCCCAAACCCTAAACCCTAAACCCTAAACACTGAACCATAACTACTATATGTGCTTAAGAACCCCAAAAGAATCAAACATACTGATCCCTATTACCCTTAATAAGGAAGAATATCTTTTGTTTCTTGGGAGTTCTTAAGCGAAGTGCTGGGGCGCCAGGATTAGGGATTCTGGGTCTGCTGCGGGTGGAGCAGGACGGTGCCACAGGGCTTCCTTCAACCCTCAACGTTTGGGGTGTAGGGTTTAGGGTTTAGGGTTTAGAGTTTAGGGTTTAGGGTTTAGGGTTTAGGGTTGAGGTTCCCTAAGCCCCAAAACCCTAAACCCTAAATTGGAAACGGGCATCACCTAGCTTCTCGTTCCAGTACCCTAAACCCTGAACCCTAAACTCTAAACTTTGCCAGGGATTCGGGTTTAGGGTTAAGGGTTTAGGTTTATAAAGTTTAGGGATGGGGAGTGTAGGTGTTGCGTGCTTCTCGACTCGCTTAGCCCTGGTAGGGTCTGGGGTTTTGGGTAAGGCGTAGGATCCTCCCCTACAACACACTCCCCCAACAGTCCTCGCCCAAGAAGAAGATGACACGATCCTGCCCCTTCGTCTGCGCCTTGATGGTGCCCATGACCGTCTTAATCTCCTGGGTTCCGGTTCGGACGTAGGGTTTAGGGTTTAGGGTTTGGGGTTTAGGGTTTAGGGTTTAGGGTTTAGGGTGTAGGGTGTAGGATGTAGGATGTAGGGTAGCGGCTCAGGTGTACCCCCAGAAAGGGTCACCGTACGCCTCTTCAGAGGACACCACGGCGGTGATGCATAACGATGTTTGCCTCTATACGCTGTACAGCGCGCCTTCAGAAGCACGCTACCTTACACGGCGCAATGGCCCCCTGCTGGGGTGGATTTGGGTGCGCTGTCAACAGTCGCTGTTGGCTAATACGGGTTGAACCTTTTGGGGATTGAGGCTGGGGTTAACTTGGACTAGCGGGTTTATGGGGCTGGGTTATAGATTCGGGGCTTAGGAGAGCGCTTGGGGTTTCAGGCTTAGGTTGGAACCAGAAAGCGAAAACCCCACACCCTTGAACCTCCCCGCCACCCTCCTCCCCAAACAAAGCCCAAGCGACATTGAAATCGGCTTCATCAGCACTCAAGTATTGGCCACCTTCCAGGTTAGTTTGGTGTGGAGCTTTTGGGGTTTGGGGCTTGGGAACTTAGGGTCTGGGATTCAGGGTGTATCAGGGTTGCCACTGCCGCAGCCACGCTGCCAAGGGCAACTTACTACAGGCTAAACCGTAAACTCGAAACCCTACACCCTAAACCCTAAACCCTAAACCCTAAATCATAGGTTTCCGTAGTAATTCCAGATGGAAACCCGTGCCGCATGAGTTCATCGTTCCAGATGGGGTATGGGATATGAGGTTGCTTGTGTCTGTAAATCCAAGAGCCAGCATCGTGGCTTCAGCTGCTCTGGCATACGGGCATGAAACATTGCTGGGATTGAGAGGTGCTCACAGAAGCTTTTTTGTCTAAACATGACTGCAGTGTGTACTTACACCTTGCTCTTTCGTGCATCAAGGTGAGCCGGGCCGATCTCCCGGACTACTTTCTTTCTTTGCTGGAGCAGCATTAACCCCAAACCCTCACCGCTAAAGCCGTAATTACGGTCGCACAGCCCTAAAACCCTAAAACCTACAACCCTAAACCCCCCTACGCCCGAGTCCCCAGAGTCCCTAAACCCTAAACCCTAAACCCTAAACCCTAAACCCTAAACCCTAAACCCTAAACCCTAAACCCTAAACCCTAAACCCTGAACCCTACAGTCTTGGCCGGGCAGCTCAGACCCATGGCGCGCAGCTCCGTCAAAACACCTGCCACGGGCGGCAGATTGGTTCAAAGACTGACGTTTAGGGCTTAACCGGAACCGTAATACCCGACCTGACGTAACCCGTGCAGGAAAGGCACCGCACGAAGCAGAATGCTGCGGTGCTGACATGGGTTATAGTACAGAAATCCGGATAGCAGAAGACATGGGGGTTTGCGAGAATCAGGGACCCCTAATCTTGCCCCCAAATAGTAGGATTACCTTATAATAATGACCCCCATAAGGTACCCTAAAATTTCGGAAACCACCACATGCCATTACGAGCCAAAACACCCAACCCAACTTCGTGTCCTAACCTTGATTGGAAGGTCCCACAATGGCTTGGACAGGAGGAGGTAGGGGTGGCAAGTAAATGAAAATTGCAAGCCCGTTTGCCTGTTTGCATGCGCATGCGTCATCTCAAGGTGAGAACCGAGACCCAGGAGTAACGCAGGAATAAAAGGGTACCCATTTTGGTTGTACGGGGATTCTAAGGGAACCCCAACCCTTAAAAAAAAAAGGAAATAAGGGCCTACTCCGGGTCCAAGGAACTGACTCGGGCGCGCCGCTGGCCTTTCTGCCTTTCCAGCAAAAGCCAAAGGCCCAACAGCGGTCTGCAAAGCATCTTCAACAGCAGCCCAGTCTGTGCAGCATCGCCTTAAACCCGAAACCCTAAACCCTAAACCCTCAACCCTCAACCCTCAACCCTAAACCCGAAACCCTAAACCCTAGACCCTAGACCCTAAACCCTAAACCCTAAACCCTAAACCGTCCACCCTGTTGAGGATGTCCCTGACCTTGACCTCGTGCAGAGCTGCCTTCATGCCAGGGGCGGGGCCCCAGCTGCGAGGCAGACTCGTAGCGGCTCACGGATCCGGCCCTAAACCCTAGAAACCCTAAGAACCCTAAGAACCCTAAGAACCCTAAGAACCCTAAGAACCCTAAGAACCCTAAGAACCCTAAGAACCCTAAACCCTAAACCCTAAACCCCACCCCCCACCACTTCCCCCCCGCCAACCCGAAACCCGACACCCCAATGCCCCGAACCCTCAAGCCTAAACCATAGTCCTAAACCCCAACGTTACAAGCCTTACAAAGCCTTACATGGGTAGTGCTCTAATCCCTTTCTGGGGTCCTAAATTGAGTACGGCACCTTAGAAAAAGGATCCTGCCCGAATTCCGAGCCCTACCCACGTTCTAACGCCGTAAACCAAGGACACGCCGAGCGCTACACGCTCAAGCCTGCAGCCTACATAAACCCTAAACCCTGAACCCTACAGCCTAAAGCCCTGCAGCCCTGCAGCCCAAAACCCAAACCCTACAGCCTAGGCCCCGGACACTAATTATATCCCTAAAACCAACGGAAAACTTAAAAGGGTTTAGGGTAGAGGGCAGAAAGGCCCAGCTGGCCCTAAACCCCAACCCCCAAACCCTAAACCCCAAACCCCAAACCCCAAACCCTGAACCCCAAACCCCAAACCCTAAACCCTCAACCGCTCCTTCGGCTTCCAGCTCGTACTTCGCTGGGTCACCAGAGACGACAAAGACATTGCTCCAGGCATACCTCGAAGGTAAGCTTCTATAAGGAGCTTAGGGTTCGGGGTTTAGGGTTTAGGGTTTAGGGTTTAGGGTGTAGGGTTCAGGGTTCAGGGTTCAGGGTTCAGGGTTGAGGCTTGGCCCTCAAAGCCCTCTGAAAAAAATGTTCCAGACTATGATCCTCTTAAACCCGGCCAGGGACAGCATAAAATATCCCAAGTGCAAACTTTTGGGGCCTTAATCATTCGAAAGGGGGTCTGGGGGTTCTTTTCGTCTCAATATCAAGGGACCACAAGGGAAGACCATTAGGGAATTATTCCGACCCCAATATTCCCTAGAGAAGGAGAGCCACCCCCCGCCCCCCCCCCCCCCAACCCTAAACCCTAAACCCTAAACCCTAAACCCTAAACCCTAAACCCTAAACCCTAAACCCTAAACCCTAAAACCCTAAACCCTAAAAAACCTGAACCCTAAGCCCTAAACCCTGAACCCTAAACCTTACACCCTAAACCCCCCCCCCCCAAAAAAAAAAAAAAAAAAAAAACAGTCCCGAGCGACTGAGGCTCTTAGATTCGCCCTGCCCTCCAATGCCGTACCGAGGTGCTGCTTCTTGAGCTCCTCGACAACCTCCACTTTGTTTAGGGTTTCGGGTTTAGGGTTTCGGGTTTCGGGTTTAGGGTTTAGGGTTTAGGGTGTGTCACACGCTCCGCGCACACCACCACGCAGGGCGTGTGTTGTGGTGTGCGCCAAGGTTCACGTCCTCTCCCAACCCACCCACCCAATTTATGACCTTGGTCAGGTTTAAAGTTTTTTATTTGTTGTCGGCTCTCCTTTTGGTATCCTGGGATCGAGGTTTCTGTTTTGGGATTTGGGGGAGCTGGAAGCTGAGAACTGGTTTGGGAAAAACCCAAAGAAGCTCAGAAATGGTCCGGCAAAGACACAAACAGGTTCAGAAATGGTCCGGGAAAGGCCCAAAAAGGTTTGAAATGGTCCGAGTCTTATGCTTTGGGATCTGGGGCCGTTTTTGTTACGAACTTGTCTGGGAAGAGCCCACAAAAGGCTCAAGACCCTCTCGACCTTTAGGCAGGTTCCCAGGACCTCCACTACCCAAGGCCTCAGAAATGGTTTGAGGAGCCCAAAAACGCGCAGAACTGGTCCGAGAGCCGCAAGGCTCAGAAAGGCTCAGAAATGGCCTGGAAAAGCCAAAAAGGCACCCAAAGAGGCCGGAAAAGCCCAAAAGGCTCAGAAATGGTCTGGGGGCAGCCCAAAAAAGGCTCAGAAATGGTCCGGGAGGAGCCAAAAAAGACTCAGAAATCCCAAAAAAGGCTCAAAAAAGGCTCAGAAGTGGCGCGGAGAAGCCTAAAAAGGCTAAGATGGGAGGAGCGAAATGGTCTGGGAGGAGCCCAAAAAGGCTCAGCAATGGTCCGGAAAAGCAAAAGGCTCGGAAATGGTCCGGGGAGCCGAAAAAGGGTCAGAAATGGTCCAAAAACCCAAAAAACCTCCAGAGTGCCCCGAACCCTAAATCCTAAATCCTACATCCTAAACCCTAAACCCAAATCCTAAATCCTAAATCCTAAATCCTAAATCCAAAATCCAAAATCCAAAATCCAAAATCCTAAATCCTAAAGGATGGTCGCGACGCAAGCCCAAGGTTTAGGGTCATATATTTCTCTTATGCTCCAGCACGCCTGTCGCGTGCGCCGGCACCGAGCCGGTGCAGGCAACGGAGCGCTCGCTGCTGCTCATCGCAGCGCCCGCAGCTCGCTTCAGTTTAGGGTTTAGGGTTTAGGGTTTCGGTTTAGGGTTTAGGGTCTAGAGCTGAGAGGGGTTGAGTTAGTCACTTTCAAGCCCCTAGTGTCTAGCTAGGGTCTGGAGTCTGGGGTTTAGGATTTGAGGTTCAGGCGGTCTACGGCTTTAGGATTTGGGGTTTCTGTTTTGGAGGCTTTAGGAATTTTGGGTTTTCAAAGTCTTGGGGCCGTAGGAATCAGGGTTTTGGGCTCAGGGTTTAGGGGGTCAGCGGGATTCTGGATGCAGGTTTAGGGGCCGAGGGCTTGGGGCTTCGGCTTTTTGAAGGGGTTTTGGGTTTCGGGTTTTTGAAGCTTGTGATGTTATGAAGCCCTATACAGGGGGTACTAAGTTGGGTGGAAATGTTCTAGAGCTAGCTCTACGTGGAGCCTTCTGAGATGTTGCCAAGGAAGGTGCCCCAAAAACACAGAGAATCACCCGTACATCTAAGGCTGGAACCATGGGCTAAACCCTAAACCTTAATAGTACGGCCCCTTACCCTTGCTTGTAGGGATCCAACCTTACAAAAAGCTGAGGAACCCTTCAAGACTAGTGGGGAGTATCAAGGGACCGGGTCCCCTGAAGCCCCCTCCCTTAACAACCCTGTAAATATTAGGAGTCAGACTTGAGGGTCAGGGTTCAGGGTTCAGGATTCAGGGTTCAGGGTTTAGAGTTTAGGGTTTAGGGTTTGGGGTTTGGGGTTTGGGGTTTGGGGTTTGGGGTTTGGGGCTTGGGGTTTGGGGTTTGGGGTTTGGGGTTTGGGGTTTAGGGGTTTCAGACCCGCAGGAGCCTTGAGCACAGGTGTCGTCACCGTGCCCATCCGCGCGAGGGCCTGCTCTCGGGGCTGGCCCTGAACCCTAAGCCCTAATCCCTGTTCAGGGTTTAGGGTTTAGGGTTTAACCCTGAACCCTAAATCCTAAACCCTAAACCCTAAACCCTAAACCCCAAACCCCTAGTCCAGCGTTGAAGCTTAGAAGGATTCAAGGGCTGGGGCTTGCATGAGGGCTTTAAGGCTCAGCCTTTGGGGTTGAAACCTGAACACCCTAAACCCGCCTGCACCCCGAATTGAGGGTTTAGGGTTTAGGGTTTAGGGTTTAGGGTTTCGGATTTAGGGTTTAGGGTTGAATGTTTAGGGCTCGGATCTTTTGCTCTTTATTGTGGTGGACAGGGGGGCCTAACCGAATCATCCTTCTCGCAATCTTTCTTTATTGGGTTCCTGAACTCAAACGGTTTTTACCGAATGGGGTTGCATGTGAATAGCTTAATCTCCTTATCACGACTCTGACAGCTTAAACCTTAAGCTCCTGAACAAAAATGCCCAGCTTCGGAGATTCATCCTTGTGTTTTTTGAAGGGGCTTCTGCATGCGGGTTCCAGAACTTCACCTCAAACCCTGAACCCTAAACCCCCAAATCCTACATCCTGAACCCGAAATCCGCATCACAGCTTGGTATGGGAGCTGCAGGGCGGGCTAGAATACCCTAAGCCCGAGGCCCGAACCAAACCTTGGAGTTTCGGGTTGCGAGTTGAGGGCGCCCGGAACTCCAACCAGTTGGATCGTCTGGCAGCTACTCTTGTACGTACTTACAATCATGCGTGAACTGCTGAAAGAAGCCCTACCCTTGGTGGCCCAGTAGCCATATTCTGATACGGGTGCCCTATTTTGAGTTGGTTACTTTTATACTGCACCCAAATCCCAAAACACCAAACCCCCAAAACTTTGGGTAGGCTGCCCGGCAACAAAAGACTAAATAGGGTGCCCTTTTTTGCTTAAAGGGGCTTGTAAGGGAACCTAAACCCCCCAAAAAAGGGCAACAAGGCACTACGGTGCCATAATATAACTATACCGGGGGTGTTTAATATCAGGGTTTAGGGTTTAGGGTTTAGGGTTTAAGGTTTAGGGTTTAGGGTCTAGGGTTTAGGGTCTCTTTCTTAGACGAGGTTTCGGAAGGGGGCTTCAGACATTTCGGGGAGGGTCCCGAGGCGTCTCTTGCTCGCCCAAACCTACGCGCAACAGAAACACCAATCTGTCAGGGTTTAGGGTTTAGGGTTTAGGGTTTAGGGTTTAGGGTTTAGGGTTTAGGGTTTAGGTTTTAGGGTTTAGGGTTTAGGGTTTAGGGTTCAGGGTTTAGGGTCTAGGGTTTCGGGTTTACGGTTTAGGGTTTAAGGTTCCTAATCCCGAAAAACCGTCCAAGTCTTGACCCTTCGGCCGTGTGGCCGGGTATGCCCCCGTGTCTGTGAAGTCCGCGCTCGCGCACTCGTAGCTCAAGAAGGGTAGCCTTACCACACAGTTGCAAGTTCATGGGAGGTTTACGGTTTAGGGCTTAGGGTTGCTAGCTAGATGTAGTTGGGATTTTGCCAGAGAGGTAGCCTCAAGTTGTCAAAAAGACGCAAGTAGTAAGGCCCGAAAACCATAAGAACTCTAAACCTACACCCCAAACCTTCAAGCATAGGCAAAGGATCCACATGTTTAGGGTTTAGGGTTTAGGGTTTAGGGTTCAGGGTTCAGGGTTCAGGGTTTAGCGTTGGGGGCGTCTGGATGCTAACTCCTCAGCCCTGGCACCCCTTCTTTCTTGCTCGTTCATGGGACATACTAGCTGGTCATGATGGAGGTGTCAGTCTTAGCTCCCTAAACCCTAAACCCTAAACCCTAAACCCTAAACCCTAAACCCTAAACCCTAGACCCTAAACCCTAAGCCATGTAATCTCGAAGTGGCCTTTTGTACAAGTTGCGACCGTGATGGCATGGCTTCTCACCCTAAGTCCTAAGCACTAAACCCCCCTCCTCCCTAACCCCTGAACCCGCCTCCTCCACATATACCCTAGTTAAACCCTAAACCCCCTGAAAACCGAAGAACCCCTAAGAACCCCTAAACACCCCCAAAAACCTCCTAAAAACCCCTTTAAAACCCTAAGACCCAACCCTAGACCCTAAACCCTAAACCCGACACCCTAAACCCTAAACCCGAGACCCTATCCAACCCACCAACCCGGTGCCCTCATCCGAGGCTCAGAGCCTCGGCTTCAGGGTTTTGGGGTTCAGCGGGGTTTCGGGTTCAGGGTTCAGGGTTCAGGGTTCAGGGTTCAGGGTTCAGGGTTTAGGGTTTAGGGGGTTTAGGGGGTTTAGGGGGTTTAGGGTTTAGGGTTAGGTTCGGGTTAACGACCTCAGGGATTTGCAGATTAGAGTTCAAGTTTTAATTAAGGGTTCTAAAACCTAAACCCTCAACCCCAAACCCTGAACCCCAAACCCAAAACATTGTCTAAGGGGCTTCATGGAGACGGCCAAGGAGGAGACTTGGCGGCACACGGTATCACCTCGACGTGGCTCGCGTTTAGGGTTTAGGGTTTAGGGTTTAGGGTTTAGGATTTAGGGTCTATATATCTAGGGTTTAAGGTTTAGGGTTTAGGGTTCGAGGGGTCTTGGGTGCCTGGGCGTCTAGGTTCACATGCATGCACAGCAAACACCAATCCTAACCCGAAAACCCAAAACCCTAAACCCTCAACCCTAAACCCCTAAACCCTGAACCCTGAAAACCCGGGGCATGAAGTCCCCACCTTTCGACGACTTGTCCATTCTAGGGTCTCGGGTCTCGGGTTTAGCGCAGCATAGCAACCTATAACTTCCTAAACCCCTAAACAAATATCCCAAATCCTAAGCCCTTTGTTGGCCAAGCCGTGAAACCTTCAAAAAGCCCTCGGTTCTCCGTTCACCTGGGCAACTTAAGGGTCGTTTCCCTGCCTTGCTTCGTGGGGTGAGCAAGGGAACCTAGACCAATGAAAAATAGATTGTTTAGGGCTTAGGGTTTGGGGTTTTTCGGGTGTCCTACAGAAAGAGTGGAAATCCATAAAGTCCCAAAGGAGCTTGCCCGGGAACAAGACAAGAAATTGCTTTGTTGTAGGGTGTCCTAACCTGGAGAAACGGAAGAAAGGCACTATTGGGCACCCGGTATGAAATACAAACACACCCGACTGTCATGGTAAGTGGAGTACCCCAAATCCTAAACCTGCTACGTACTCATGATCGGCGCACTCCTGCGCGTCGCAGGCCACGCTAACAGCACAAGCTCTACTGGGTTTGTGGTTTAAGGACCCCCTAAACCTCAACAGGCCGTGGCACAGCCCATGCCCGCAATAGCCACGTACGTGTCCTGCTGTAAGGAGGGTCTACATCAGGGCTTAGGGTTTAGGGTTTAGGGTTTGGGGTTTGGGGTTTGGGGTTTGGGTTTTGGGTGGAGGGTTTGGCGGGAGAACAAGTTGTGCCGTGCTATACATTGATAAACCCTAAACCCTAAACCCTAAACCCTAAACCCTAAACCCTAAACCCTAAACCCTAAAAGATATGATTGGCTACAGGCTTCGGGCCGAAGTAGTTCAGGTAGTGTCTCAACTACCCACCACCCCCTAAACCATGAACCCTGAACCGTGAATCCTAAACCATAAACCCTAAATCTAAAACCCTGAACCCTGAACCCTAAACCCTAAACCCTAAACCCTAAACCCTAAACCCGATACCCTATACCCTAAGCCCTCGGGGCCCGAACTGTCTTCGACTGCCTTTTTTTGCCGCTAGCCGACCGGCATTCGGGAACGTGCACCAGTATCAAAGGTTCTGTTGGGTCTGCGGGGTTAGGGTTTAAGGGTTTTAGTGCTTAGGGCTATGAAGCCCTAAACCCTGAACCCTACTCAAGTCCTTCGCCGAAACAGCCGACACCACCACGTCGGAGCCGACGCTGGGGTCGCAAGAATCATCCTTGGAGGGTTTAGGGTTTAGGGTTTAGGGTTTAGGGCGATGAGCACACGCCCACCGAAGCCTAAGCCCAAAGCCCACAGCCCCGCACTTCCCGGTTTAGGGTTTAGGGTTTAGGGTTTAGGGTTTAGGGTTTAGGGTTTGGGGTTTGGGGTTTGGGGTTTGGGGCGACTCTGGGCTTGCAAAGAAACTCCTTGAGCTCCTCTAAACGTTGCAAACCCATCTAAACCCTAAACCCTAAGCCCTAAACCCTAAACCCTAAACCCTACACCCTAAACCCTAAACCCTAAACAACCTTCTACACCAAAAACCTTTTCAGCTTTCCAAGCTCACCTTCTAAACCTTAAACCTTCCAAGCGTTATAAAAAACCGTGTAACAACCAAAAACTTGTGAAAAGCCTTCTAAACCTTCAACCTTGCAAGAGCCTTCAAAACCTTCTACCTTGGGTACCACATGAACCCTAGAATTGGGGTCATACACCTCAACTACTATAATCCCTATCAAGGTATCTGACCCTAAACCCTAAACCCTAAAGCCGTAACCCTAAACCCTAAATCCTAAACCCTAAACCCTTTTCAGGTTCCTTAGTTCCCCAAGGCACACCTTCCCCCAAGCCCTATAGCCCAAGGGGCGAAGATCGCGTGGCTGAGCCGATAGCCCGGCAGGATCACCTGGTCCTGGATCCGATGCCTACTTCGGGTTTAGGGTTTAGGGTTTAGGGTTTAGGGTTTAGGGTTTAGGGTTACCTGGTCCTCTGGGACAGGGTCCGGGGCCCGATGCCTTTAGGGTTTAGGGTTTAACCCTAAGCCCTAACCCTAAACCCTCAACCCTAAAACCCGGAACCCAAACCCTATAAGTCTACTCCGTATCCCTAGAAACCCTATAAATCATCCCCATGGCCCAACTTACTTGCCCTACTTACCCTTGTTTCTAAGTCAGCAGGTACCAAGTAAACCCTGAACCTAAACCCTATAAACCCTAGGCCGCTTCAAGCCCATCCCAAAATTGAGGCGGAGTTCGGGAACCTGGCGCATGATGCTGAGGGCGTATATCAAGGGTTACAAAATTAACAGTAGGCCGCAAAAGCCCAAAACTCAAAACATGTTTTAAAGCCCCCGCCTCTCAGAGAAAGCCCTGAACCCTAAACCCTAAACCCTAAACCCTAAACCCTAAACCCTAAACCCTAAACCCTAAACCCTCAACCCTAAACCCTAAACCCTAAACCCCAGTGTCCTCGTTGATGATGCCCTCGGCGAGCCTTGCCGCCAGCCGAAACGTCTGGCCACCGGCCCACGCCCCTGTTAGGGGCCTGAGCTCAGGGAGGGGTTTAGGGTTTAGGGTTTAGGGTTTAGGGTTTAGGGTTTAGGGTTTAGGGTTTAGGGTTTAGGGTGATCCAAGGGTAGGGAACCCCCGAACCCACACAAAAGGGAATAAGAGCCTACCCTCGGCCTAGTAGCCCTAAACCCTAAACCCTGATTCTCAACCCTAAACTGCAAACCCCAAAAAAAGGGGCAATAAGGGCCTGTGCCCAAGCAGATCGCGCACGGAGCGATCGCCGCTTCAAACCCGTGGAAAACTCTTCATCCTCCCAAATATGTAGGCAGGTATATATATATAATACATACATACATATATGAACACATATGACATATACATATCTATATATATGTATATATATATATATATATTTGATAGAACATGCTAACTTAATGTGAATACAATATCATACCATATAACATAGGTTATAGAACACCCCCTCCTAAGCAACGGAATCTTCACAACGGAATCCCGGGTTTTCGGAAAAACTCCCTCCAGCACCACCCCAACCGGTGCTCGTGATTCAAGGCCTTCTGGTTGAGGCGTCCCTAAGCTTCAACGAAGACCGATGTGAACCCCGATATAGACCCTAAGGCACCCAAACCTCGGGTTTAGGGTTTAGGGTTTAGGGTTTAGGGTTTAGGGTTTAGGGCTACACCCTAGACCCCAAAACCGTTCTACACAAGTCGGGTGGCATGGGTGCCAGGATCTCGAGGGTGAGCATCGTGGTGGTGCGGGTCGTCGTCGAGAAGTAGTTGGCGGCGGCCATGGTGCTTTCCTTGCTGGGGTTTAGGGTTTAGGGCTTTCGGGTGTGTAGGGTTTGAGAGTTTGAGGGTTCGAGGGTTTAGGTGAAGTGTATGCTAATCCAACCTAAAACCCGCGAGGTTGAATGTGTGGCTTTCACTTGCTGTGGCTACACCCACTTGCCTCTAAACTGATAGTCGTGGCGATAAGCAGAGGGAACCACAACAGTTGCGGGTCATCACCCTCTTTGGGGCGCCTTTGAACCTCCAAGTAAGGTCCTAGCCCCTAAACCCTAAACCCTAAACTCCACCTTCCTAAAACCGCCCATGAACCTCGTAGAGCTAAGGGCTTTCAGGGTACCTTTCCTATGCTCATGTTCTCGGAAGTCAAGGGTTTGGCTTAAGCCTTAGGCCCTCTTTATAACCCTATAAAAACCCTACAATACCCTACGAAACCCTGCCAAAACCCTACAAACCCCATGATCCCTACATGTAAACACTACAACCCCCTGCAATCCTGCAAAAACTCATAAACACTGCAAACCCTTCAAACCCTGCAAAACCCGATAATAGGGCTTGCGAGGCCGCAGGGAGTTTAGGGTTCGAAGGTTCGCGCTTAGTCCTCGGGATCTAAAGTTTAGAGGGTGGCAGGCTTCAATAGGGGGATAGGATAAGGGGGACCCTTGGGGATATAGACCCTCTGAATAAGGTCCCTGCTTAAGAGAGCCAGAAGAGGGTTCAGAAGGGTCCCCTTTTAAGGGTCCCCCTGATCCTACCTAGGATGAGTTTTAGGCCTTGGGGGGGCGAGGTTCGAGACACACACGCACACAGTGACCCACACACGGACACACGAACGAACGAACGAACGAACAAACACACACCAACCGCCAAAAAAGCGTCCAGGACCCCATCCATCGTCTCGACGACCGTCTTCAGATCCTGCAAGGGGTGCCCTCCTACCACAAGATTACCCTAAACCCGAAACCCGAAACCCGAAACCCTAAACCCTAAACCCTAAACCCTGAACCCTAAACCCTAAACCCTGACAAGGAAGGATCTGGGATGGCTTGGGGATCCCAGGGACTGAGTGTTAGGGTTTAGGGTTTAGGGGGTTGAGGGATGTTTAGGGTTGAGGGGTAGGGTTTGGGGTTTAGGGTTCAGGGCTTTAAGGTTTAGGGTTTCGGAGCAGGCGGGTTCACTTGCTGGAACGACTTTTCGGGCTTTTTGGGCGCGTTGACATGGGAAACTTGGCTCTGCACCTGCTGCAAACCTCCTAAACCACTGGCCTGCGTGTGTATTTTATGACTACCTACCTACCTTAAGCCCCTGGCCTCAGAGAGTACCCGAAACCCCTAAACCCTAAACCCTACACCCCAAACCCTAAACCATAAACCCTAAACCCGAGCCCTGAACCCCAAACCCTCTTCGTGGTCTGATGGCATTCCCCCCCGGAAGTTCCCAAGCACACAAAACACAGCGACCCTGTGAATACCGACAAAAACCATCGGGAGGGTTCAGGGTTTGGGGGTGTTGTCTAGGGTTTAGGGTTTCGGGTTTAGGTCTAGGGTTTAGGGTTTAGGGTTTAGGGTTTAGGGTTTAGGGTTTAGGGTTAAGGGTTAAGGGTTTAGGGTTTAGGGTTTGGGGTTTAGGGTTTAGGGTTTAGGGGTTTTCGGGTAATCTCTGAGATCGGGGGGCCGCCGCAGTGGAACTGGCAGAGTTGATGAAGGCTTGCACCACCGGCTTCCTAGGAGGAGCATGGGCTGTTGAGTAGGATCTTCATGTAGGGTTTAGGGTTTAGGGTTTAGGGTTTAGGGTTTAGGGTTTAGGGTTTAGGGTTTAGGGTTTAGGGTTTAGGGCTTAGGGCTTAGGGCTTAGGGCTTAGGGCTTAGGGCTTAGGGTTAGCACATGGGGCCCTTGAAATGGTCCCTTGCCTTCTTTCAAGGGCTCTGAGGTATGGGCCTTGCGGTTTCAGGGCCCAGATGAAGGGACCATGTGACTCCCCGAAAGGGGTGGTGTAGTCTGGGGTCCCAAGTATGTGCCCTTGATTTGCGTTCGTTGGTGAAAGAACCCTTACATGCACTATACATAAGAAGGACACATACTCCGGATCCCTAGAAACAAGGGTAAGAGACCATACTAAGGGCCCATGCTACCGACCTCAGGGTTTCCAGCTGCTAAGGCTTTGGGGGGTTTAGGGGTTTTAGGGTTGTTCGGGTCTTGTGGTCTTAGGGCTCAGGTTCTAGGCCCTAAACCCTAAACCCTAAACCCTAAACCCTAAACCATTAGGGTTAGGCTGGTTTTGAGAAGGCCACGGGTCGGAGGAGCTCTGAGGCTTCGAATTGTAGGTGGTTTGGGACAGTGGGGTCAGGGTTTAGGGTTTAGGGTTTGGCTTTCGGGTTCCAGAAGAAGCCTTAGGGCTTAGGATCCCTAACCCTAAACCCTAAACCCTAAACCCGAAACCCTAAACCCTAAACCCTAAACCCTAAACCCTAAACCGGTTTAGGGCTTAGGAGTTTAAGGTGCGGTGAAATCTGCAGCCTCCTTTGTGAACTGGGCTCATGTATATACTAGGCATCTCGGTGGCCCCTAAAAAATGTTAGGGTGAAGGTTCAGGCTTCATGGAACTACGTACAGAGCTCCTAAACCCTAAACCCTAAACCCTAAACCCTAAACCCTAAACCCTAAACCCTAAACCCTAAACCTCAAAGCAGTATGGGCTTCAGGGTCCAAGGCGACGGCTTGTTGGGGTTTAGCGCTTTATCCCGTAGGTTGCATCTAGGCCAAAACGGTCTGGGGTGTAGTGTTTAGGGTTTAGGGTTTAGGGTTTAGGGTTTAGGGTTTAGGGTTTAGGGTTTAGGGTTTAGGGTTTAGGGTTTAGGGTTTAGGGTTTAGGGTTTAGGGTTTAGGGTTTAGGGTTTAGGGTTTAGGGTTTAGGGTAGTGTTTAGGGTTTAGGGCATCCTAAAACCTTAAACTAAACCCCTAAACAAACATCAGCAAACTTAAAGCCGGGGCCGTAAACTCAACATCGGGCACGGATGCACGCCTGAACCCCATACGCCCTCGAAAGTCAAAAGCCGAGTTGTTTGTTGGGGTTTAGGGGTTACTTGGAGGTTCATGGTACGTATTACAGTAAAACCACTGTTTAAGAAACCACTGTTTAAGAAACTGAGCCCCTAGACCCGGGAATATTGGTCGATTTGCGGTTGCCTTCTAGCTAAGAAACTTAGGGTACCCTAGTGTTTTGGGATCAGTTTCTCAAAAAATCCTGCCCGCAACACCCCCCGGGTCTACCCCAAAAACGCGCGGGAGTCACATTCTAGGTTTTCAGCCCTTAAAGCTCGAAAACGTGACTCTCCCGAGACTGCGGCCAAACCCTACCCCAAAAATGCGCGGGAGTCACATTCTAGTGGTTTTCAGCCCTGAAAAGCTCTAGAACGTGACTCCCCCGCGCCTGCGGCCAGACCCTACCCCAAAACGCACGGGAGTCACATTCTAGAGGTTTTCAGCCCTGAAAAGCTCTAGAACGTGACTCCCCCGCGCCTCTGGCCTGACCCTACCCCAAAACGCGGTGGGAGTCACATTCTAGAGGTTTTCAGCCCTGAAAAGCTCTAAAACGTGACTCCCCCGCGCCTCTGGCCTGACCCTACCCCAAAACGCGCGGGGGTCACATTCGGGAACCCTTCCCACCACCATTCCTGGAACATGGGTTTGGTCTAATTAGTGGTATAGCGTACTCCCTTAAGAAATTAGTTTAGAAACCAAGCCTATCCTAGGCTAAAACACCCCCGGGTACATGGGTAATGGAAACTAAGAAACTTAGGGTACCCTGTCGCCGGAAAACCGTTTTCTTATACAGCGTTTTTACTGTAACCAATTATAACTGTACTTATAACCCACGTGGAAGCCCCCTAAGTGCCCTAATATGGTTATAAGCACAGTTGTAAGCCCTAAAAACACCCTCCCGCTCCTCCTAACGCTCCAAGCCTGAAGCCCATGAATTGTTGAGGGGCTTCCTTCGACCGCGCCGGGCGCGCGTGCAGGGTTTGGGAAAGTTTAGGGTTTAGTGTTGAGTGTTAAACCCTAAACCCTAAACCCTAAACCCTAAACCCTAAACCCTAAACCCTAAACCCTAAACCCCCCTGAACCCTGAACCCTAAACTCTACACCCTGAGACGGTTCTTGGGCTGAGGTGGTTCAGGGGCTTGCGACCAGGGCACGC